CTCATCTTTTTGGGGCTAATCTTCATCAATCCAAAGCAAAGGAGAAGGTATAATCTCATTTCCATGCTTTGTTTAAAAACCGGTTTTTGAATCCATCATTTCATGCTTTCTTCTCCATTTCCACCACTCTTCATGCATGCATGCTGTTCTTACAGAGAGGTTAGAGTTATTGCCAAACAACGGCACTTCGCCAAATCTGAAATCTGGTGAAGTTCCATCAAGTCGTTGAATTTGTACAAGTGATCCTACGGATCAGAATTTCCATCAAACGCCCTCATATCAGGCATTCTAAATCTTGATGGGAGAGGGGCGGCTAATACCGCAGGGGAAAAGGGAGACGCCGCTGCGACATTCCCTTGCTCGTTTTGCTGAGCCTTTAACTGATCTAGAGCTCGCTGCAGCTCCTCAATCTGAGGCAGCGAAGCTATTTAGGGATTGCTTTCACCTATGCGACTTCGACCCTCGCGATTGCGGTTGAGGAAGGTCTGGAGGTCGGATTCCTCTTTGCCTCGGCCGGCAATTATGGTCGCCCTTGACACACGCTGTCTAGAGTCGTGTGATGGCGATGAATGGTACGGGGAATTTTCATGACCTCCGCAGTGGTATGAACCGCCCCGCGAAGTTTCGGAACCTTCTGTACGATGATGACCAGGATCGTTTCTCTGGCAGTGATGAGAATCGCCTAGTCCAGCACTTTTATGGGGGTGTTCATGCGCCATGGCATGGGACGACTCGGGCTGCGACCTTTCACTGAGTCTTAAAGCCACAGGTATTCTACTTGGGACGTGGTTGGTGTTCGCCGACCCTTTGGAGCCCTTAGGCCCACTGTTCACCACTTGCTTACCCTTCCTTCAACACGCTGCAGTGCGCGTGGCTTGGGCTATTGCCTTTCTCCGCGCTTTCGGGTGACCTGCAGGTGTTTTTGGCGGTTGCACCGCCCTAGCTGATTCGAGTGGCACATCTATGTCCAAACGGTCCAACCTTTGGTTGACCGTTTGGAGAGTATTGTCGAACCTCTCTAGGTAGCTCCTGATGGCAGGGTCAAGTTGTGAACTTGAAGGGATATCCCCCACGACATTTTGTGGAACTGACGGCACCTCAGGAGAAGTGTCCTCCTGTACTTGAGGGATCTCCTCAGCACCATGACTGGTTCGCTCAGGTTCAAATCGGCGGGCCATTTGCTGTTGTAGGACCAGTTAGTCAGAGATTCTCCTGATGAAGGACGAATACTAAATCAGGCCCTCCTAGCACCAAACTGTTGATGCGTGATTTTGACACCAACTAAATACACGTGTGAAATGCTGAGTTGGCCTAGAAGACACACGTGAATGGGGGATTGAGAATGTAAATAATGGCAAGACAATGTTTAAAGTGGTTCGGATGCTTGACCAAGCGAATCCTATGTCCACTGATATTGTATTTATATTTGAAGGATCAGGTCGCAGACTAACGAGCTGATAGAGTACAAATGAGAGAGAGAGAGAGAGAGAGAGAGAGAGAGAGAGAGAGAGAGAGCTCTTACAGAGGGAAGATAGTTAATCAAGAGTAAAAAAATGAGCGAATCCCACAAACGGGAGAGAAGCTCTTTATTTATATGGGATACATCGAGGTAATCATTACTGAATCCGTAAAAAGAGGGTCAGGTACTGTGCAAATCCTCCTTTGTGTCCCGTTATTCACCTACTTGCGTGATCTCCTCGCTTTATGCAAGGATTGGACACGTGGACGACCTTTAGCCTTTCGTCAGTCTGGTGTTGTTGATTTTCGCAAGTGTACGAAATTGTGCAAGTAATAAAGTGTATAAAATATGGATATCGAACCCAAGGGAATTACTATTATCAATTACCAATTAAACTATCCTATTACTATTTGATCAATCCAAATTTTATCAAGGAAAACCTAAATTAAATAAACAATTGAATTTAAGAAGAAAACTGAAAAGAGAACAATTAAAATAAATCTTTGGGTAAAAACAAGATGACTAGACCTAGGGCATAGACTTCACACTAACTCTTATTAATATATATCGATCTCTTATGCTAATTTTATTAAGCTCTTCTTACAGGTCAAACTCCCTAAATCTCTAATAACTTTCTCTTAAACAATTATCAAATTAACCCCTAATTATTAACCCGAATTATCTCTAATCAGATTTAAGCAGTTGGGGATCATTACGCTCTATGGAGTTTACCAAAACCTCACAAGTCGCAGTAACTTATCTCTAGCGTTCGCTCAACCTATGGTTTTACTACCGTAGACCAACTAAGTATCATCTCTCGATCTCAACTTAGTCCATTAGTTCATTCAATTCTTAGGCCCTTAAGAATCAAAAGCATTAGGAATAATAGTAAAACTTAGGAAGAATTCTTAATATAAATTAACAATCAAAGATCAATACATAATTAAGAGATTAGGCTACATCTTAGCCCTAGAGAATAAAATTAGTTCATAATAAACATGAAGAAACAATCATATTTATTAAAACATTCATCATGAGTTTACAAGAAAAGAATAAGGAAAACTTCTCTATATTGTGAATCAAAGCTCCAGAATTTATGTTACTTCTCTTCTCTCCAGATTTTTCTCCCTTTCTTCTCATCAAAGAATCCCCTCAAATAATGCTAAAAGACTTCTATTTATATCCCACAAGGGTTAGAGTTTGTTTTTCCTTAATTCTATTTGATTTGGAACCCTTAACCCTGTTCTCCTCGCTAAAAAGGGACAACAAACTAGTGACTTACGTGACTGTGTCGCAACACAGCTACTAGAAAAAGTGTGCCGCGGCACAGTAACTGCTGCCCTCTTCCCGCATCATTCCACTGTGCTTCAAAGATGTTGATTTTTGAACTCGATAACGATGGAATTTGGAAAAGTTGTAAACATATGAAATGTAGCCCTTTGAATCAGATTTCCAACGGTCCAAGAATTGTCTTAATATGAGTTCTACAGCTCAAGATATTCTCAAAATACTGAGTCTAGAATCTTCTCTTTACTTCAACTTCCATAACTTCTTCAATTCAACTTCGATTCTTGATCCGTTTGTTTCCACTTGGCACTTATTCCGTTGCAAACATGATTCTTCATCGAGCATAACATTTAAGCACTAGTGACCTGGAAAACACTCCAAAAACACCTCGTGATCTTGTAAAAGGCAATTATGAAAATATCAAGCAACTTTACCAACTTAAGCCTAATTTCCCATAATTAATCTCCCAAAAACCACTAACTAAATGTGTATTTTCAAGCCCTTATCATCTGGCGAGCACCCACTGCATTGGCATGCTGCTCACGCCAGCGTGCGACGTTGCCACATCTGAATGCCTGCAGGATCTGCCTAGACCTTGACCACTTGCGCTGACTGGGCTCTACGTCAGCCTTACTTTTCCAGGCATAAGAAGTTCAATTTCTTAATGTGTTTTTCCTTTTAGAAATACACTCACGGCCATTGACGATCACTCGACAAGAAGAACCAACATCCATTTGTCCCCATTTGTCTCAACTAAGGCCATTTCTGTGTCCGTTTAGTTTAATTTATTGTAGTATTAATTACAATAAAACTTAAAAAAAAATTATTTTTTTGTTTGATTGGGAAAATGTGAAGAGTTTTTGAGTTTATCCTGTTTTAAAAATTGATTGCTGATATCAAATTGTTTTTTATTGAGCCTATATTATTAAACAAATATGAAATAAAATAATTCAACTATGAATTTGAATGATACTTTTTTGTATTGTTATATTTTCAATTCCTACATGAATGATGAATTTGGTTACTAAAAGTTCAACATGGCACCCTGCACCCTGCACCCATTAACAAAAGGTTCCAAAAAAGCCATCAAGCCCTCTTGGTAAACCTCATGAGGCCGCCCACATCTTATCCCTTCTCACAGTTAATAAATAAAATAAACAATAAACCAATCAACATCCCGTTGACCTGAATTGAAACGCAGAGATAATTCACACACCACCCGCGTTTTACCAAGTCGAAGACTCCTACATCACTCGTTTTTCGTGCTGTAATGCTGGTTGTCTGATTCTCTTCCCTCTTCTTCATTGACAGTAACCAGTAACCACTAACCCCACTTGACTGGAACTCCCACAACTTTGCCGCACGTTCAACACGCTTAAGCTAAAACCAACTTCTAAACTTGGACCAAATGCAGGGAGAGTCGAGTGTTTCCCACCTGGTAAAAACCCTAGCTTTAATAATGTTTTTGTATTCATTTTGTCTCTTTCGTTCTTGAGGTCCCACTTTTTTGAACTATGTGAAATGTGGGTTGATTGCAGGTTATTTGTGGTACTTTTTTTATTAATGTGGACCATTGTTTATTTATGTTGCTCATGCAGTATGATGCCTTTTTTTTTTTTTTTTTTTTTCATATTTGTGCACGCACTTTACTGTTCATGGAATGTAGGAACAGGAAATTATAATTAATATTTTTTTGGTATTTTATTTGTTAAAATAAGTGCGGTGTTTGTGCTTTTTTGGGATTTTTTAAACACTGTTTTAGGTTCTCAAAGTTGATATGTCACACATACTGTGTAGAAATAATGGTGATGGGTCTCTTGAGCTGAAGACTCACTTAGTACAGCCGCTCGGGGTTGCATTTTATTTTATTTTGTATTTTTTCCTTATTTGCATCGTATGTGGAATCAATTGATCTCTTATTCAGTAACTTATCTTGGACAAGCATGGGTTTGCAGACGAGATCCCGTAGTGAATAGGGTTTTGGCTAAGTTTTATTTAATGTTCACCATAGTTGGTTACTAGGAAGAATAAATAATGAAACAATCTTAACTAAACTTTATTAACATGGCATGTGACAACCTTCAAGCTCACATTAAGAGAGGAATCTTAAATCCTGTCCTTCATGCCATGCAGTGACATATTAAATGGTGTTAAATTTGGGGTAACCTAAGAGAAAAAGAATGGATGTCAAGTCTTGTTTGTATTTAATTAAGTTCCTTTTTGTTTCCTCACTAATAGATAACCATGTGTTCCTTTTTGTTTTCTTACTGAGAGATAACCATCTATACCAATAATTGAGATGAGCTTTTTTCGTTTTGCAGGACAAACCATGTGACATTTGTGGTCATTTTGGTTTTCAGGAACTGCTTGTAACTTGCTCCAAATGTTGTTGCGCTCGTGAGCATGTGTAAGATGTCTAGAAACTGCTATATGTATGTATGTGAGCATGTTTGTGTATTCTTTTTTTCCTGTTTCCTATTGTCAATTGTATTATGTGTGCCCTGCATATAATTAATCAAATAGAAAGCAAGCTGCATCATGTGATTGCTAGCTTCTTCAAGGTTAACCAATTGCTTCATTTTCTTTATCCAGTTGTCTTTTATAGCTTAGTACCCTGCTGTATGTAATACTGTTATAACCCTTATTGCTGAACATGATATCCTCTTTTTGTAGTTATTGCATGAGGGTTTGTACTGAGGAGGTGCCACAAAGTTGGGTTTGTGAAGCATGCCTATTGAGCAATGACATGCTTTCACCAAAATCCGGAACTATCAATAAGGCTTGCAATGATTCACAGTTCCAGGTTCACTCGAAGAAGCTAAAGTCTGTTGAATCCGGCAAGGTCAAGTTCCTTCCCGCAGAAGAAGCTATTAGGCTATCATTAGGATCCCAGAAAATGGGATCTTCTCAACGAATTAACTTCGGATTAAAATGGGGTTCATCAAATACCGTTCTACCTAGGAGCAGAAGAACTCCCATTCCGTCCAAAATTGTGAGTCAAGTCTTCTCCTGTTTGCCAGAAACGACAAATCCTAATGTTATATCCTAAGGATTTTTAAATTCTTCTTCACAGAGTGGTGCACAAATTAATTCCATGATGAATGATCAGGCAGCAAATATGTCAAAACAATCAAAAGGTGAAAATGCTTTTTACATATTTGTTTTCACAATTTTTGTTATCCATAGGATTCACCGACTTAAAGATGAAAGAAGTTAATCTACCCTGCCTTTCCTAAGTCAGGCCCCATGAGTTATGTTATCTAGTTATGTCCCTAAGTGTCACAGGCATGCCTGTCCACTATGTCCTGTTGCGAGGCTCCGCCCTCACTCTGCATTGGATGACTTCAGTGTCTTTACTTGAGTATTAGAATGAAGGCTACAGGCTTCCTTAGTCCCTCTGGAAGCCGTTTCCCTTCTTGGCCAGCCTTGGGAATAACAGGCACTGTTTGTGTCTTTTAGTGACTTGATAGCTTCTTGTAAATTATGGTGCCAAGACTTCCGACTAGTCATTTGGAGAGGCTTTAATTTTTGGGTTGAGTAGTCATATAACATGATATCAAAGCCAAGTTCACCAAGTGGTCTTGCGTTTGAATTCTCCTCTTGTGTCATTTATTATAATAAATTGTTTGTGTTAGACATATGTGTTGTGTACATGTGAAGAGTGTTCGAAATTTTCCTCTCAATTAATGACATTATTTAATGAGATTGAAATTCTATTGTTGTTGCCTGTTATGACCATGTTCAGCTATTTGATTATATGGTAATTAAATTGCCTTTTCAGTTGGTCAACCTTTGTTTCCCTTTTCCTAATTATTTCAGGCAAAGCTATTCATGTTGCTGAACCAAAAAAATTTGCTGTTGAGGAAAGAGATTTACAGAATATGCGGCTTAAATATGAGCAGCATCGTCGATATCTCCCTGCTTTGGAATCAACTTGGAGGTGGGTAGCCTATTCTTTTACAATGTTATAAAATCATGAATTTATTTATTTGCCAATGCATCAAAGCGAGGTGGAGCTATTTATGGTCCTGGACCGAGGTCCCACAAAAAGTTTCAAATTTCATCCCTCAAATTTCCTTTTTTTTTCTTTGGTCCCTTCATTTGTTGAATGCTACACTTTAGCCCCTTTAAATGCAATTTCCTTAATTTATTTCCTATTTTCCATAAATTTCCTTACCAGCCCAATGTAATTTATGTAAATTTCCAATTTCTCAATAAAGAGACTTCAATTAAGATCATAGCTATCTTAGTACAAATAACAAGCTAGATTTCTTAAGTTGTTGTACCAACTAGATCTGTCTTTTGGGATAAGTCACATGATTGTTGGACAGACACAAGGTTAGTAATGCTTGAAAAACAGGGCATGGTTAAACTTGGATAGGGTGTTTAAAACATCTACAAGTTAATCATGATTGGTTGGTTAAGGTTGATGGAAAAAGAGTCATTTTAATGATCTTTTATCTCTCAAAATCTGAAATTTCCTTGAAGGGAGTCCAGCATCAAGTTGTAAAAGATTTGCAAATTTTAATTAATTTCACTCTTATATAATTGTCAGTATCTTAAAGTTTGATGTTGTTGTTAGATAATTTTGTAAAATTAAAATTTTCAAGGAACACTTGTTAGTCTTGGCATGGTTTTGCTCCTTCATGTTGTTCTCTTGTTTTCTACCTGGTCACTTTTCTTGCTACATTAAGGACACTAAACTATTTACCAAACTGCATGAATTCGATAAATGCATGTTTAATGAATTTCGGCTTTAGCTCATAGAAGAGCATTTTTCCTTAGAATGTGTAGGGTTTCTGTTTATATAAGGTAATACATAATTGCAGTAATTCAGGGAGAAGCTTTTTTAATCATGAAAATGTTATTTGGTAGCTGAGCAAATGTCCCTTACGTGTATTAAAGCATGTAATTTGATGATTATAGTTTACTTTAACTGCACTCAAGCATTTACCTTGATTTACTTGAAGACAAAAAGCATCGAAGAACCGGATGCCTAATTATACTTATGCCCTTTTTCAGTGGAGGCTTCAAATTTTTTGATTCTGCTACTCCCGGTAAATTTTATGGTGGTATCCAGGCTCAACCTCCAAGCAGACTTCATCCTATAGCCCTTGAGTTTGCACAGAGAATGCCTAAAGTCGTTCAGGTTAACCTACTGCCTAGACGCCAGTTTTGGGCAGATTTATTTGGGAATGATTTCCCTGATTACTGTGACATCTCACTGTATTTTTTTCCGGCTGATAATATCGAAAGGTTTGTATGACATCTGATATTGGTGTTGTGATTTCTTATTTCCAATTTTGTTGTCCTAAAATTTTCTAACATGTGTTCTGTTGACTTTTAGATCCAAGCAGAATATTTTTTGCCTCTTTGAGCTGTTGGAGAGCAATGATTCCTTGATGAGAAGTTACATTGATGGTCTGGAGTTGCTGATATTTTCATCTAAACAACTGCAAGAGGACTCTCAGAGTGAGCTCTCTAGTTTCTTTAACATTATCCTTCAACTTTCATTTAAATGAGTATGTTAAGGAATTGCTTTCAGATTTGTTTAAGGTGTTTTTATTTTTTAGAGAGATATATTGGCAATGAAGGCCAAATTTCAGGAAATAGATTGGCAACAAAGTCCAATTTTTTCTGAAAAGAGACTCAGAGACAGTGAAGGCAAAAAGAAAAATAAGAGGTTTCCAATATCAATATCTCTGATACATGTTGAAAAAGAATGTCCTTTTCATGTGAATTAAGTTTTCTGGTATATGATAAACTACAGGATACATGTTATTTTGGAAATAATCTTCCTAAACACCTAAATAATGAGGGTCAACTATTACAAATAGGAAATCAGGGATACAATTATGGGCTATACATACAAACTAGTGTGATATAACTTTTTTATTGACACATCATTCACCTATATTTATAAAAACATTTATTGAATTGACTTTTTATATGCACTTATTCATTCATTCACTTTGTGTCACGTCAATTTATTTGGAAGAGTTTATACATCTAGTATGATTCTACAAAATAGTTTACAAATATCTTACATTTGTGGGATTTGAATTAGGTAACTTTCCTCTTTTTTGAATTCAGCAAGATGTTCTGTGAGGAAGTCAGTACTAAATGACTTATTTGTTGCAATTTTAAGGGTAACCTTATTGAAAAAGCCATTGAAATCAATATGCTATTGGCCTTACATATTGGTATTGCTATATAGTTTGGCATCTTCGTTTAGCTTTTTCTATTGTCTCATTGTTTGTGTGGAGAGTACATAAAACACTGGACCCTCTTTTTTGCCATTGTCACATTGCCGAAAAGCTTTTTTTTTTTTTTTTTTTTTTTAAGTGCATGAATAGCTGGATTTGTGAAAAGTTTGAGCTCAATCTTTCATTGCCTTCATGAAGATAATTGAAACTTTTTTATTAATAGGAATTATTGCAAGGAAAAACACAGAATACTTCTTATGGGGAATCTTTCGCCTTGTAAAATCTGATCAAATTCTTCACAAGGGGCATGAAGAACTCCCTTCATTGGTTTCCCCTAAGGAATGTGCTTTTGATTATGCCAAAACAGAGAACTTTGACGTTATAGATATGGATGTTGACATGGAAGGTGGAAGGATTGTAGGGACTGTTGATTTGGTTGTTTCGAAAGATTTACCACGGATTACATGTGGAATTAATGGAAAAATAGATGTGGATTCTGCTGCTGAGAAGATATTGTTAGAGCAGAAGCCTAACTTTTTTGATTCATCTACTAAATTTACAGAGAAAATTCAGCAAAAGTTTGCTTTTGAGCACCCAATGCAAAGCTGTCGAGGGAAGTTAGCAAATGCTAAAAATGACATTGGTGTTTCTCCAGGTTTCAAAGAGAAATCAAGTAAGAAAGAACCAGAAGTTGTTCCATTTTCTGATGAGCATGCAAATTCCGTCAGTAGAGGACATGCTGAAGATAGAAATAGGTGTCGCGAACCTTACCTTGTAGAAGTTAAAACTGAAAGCAAGATGGATGTGCCAGTACACTGGAGTCCTCCCCCAAAAGATTGGGTGAAATTAAATATTGAAGGCAGTTCAATATGGCAGCTGGGTTGTGCAGGAGCTGGTGGAATTGTGCGCAATGAATTTGGCAAGTGGCTTCTGGGCTACACCGAAACCCTAGGGAATTGCAGTAGTTTGGCAGCAGAGTTGAATGCTCTTTATCAGGGCTTAAAGCTTGTTTGGGAAAAAGGGTTTAGAAAAATTCTGGTGGAATCTGCCTCCCTTGAGGTAGTAAAATGTTTGGAGCAAGCTTCTGCTTCTTTGGATCCTAATAGAGATCTCATTGAATCCTGCCGAGATCTGCTCAAGCGCAACTGGGAATGCAAAGTGAAACACAGTCATAGAGAAGCAAACTTGTGTGCTAATTGGTTTGCAGCTCACGCCAAATGCCAACCATTGGGGACACTGACAATTTTCAAGAACCCACCTTGGGGGCTGATTCCTATTTTTCATAAAGATTGTACAGGGACCACTCAGGCTCATGTTAGCTAGTCTCAACCACGCTACGCCTTAACAATGCACAGATGAAGATACTTAACTGAACTGCAGAATAGGTTACTCTATAGACACCGCTCATTTACACGGCTGCGAAGGTGTAGGATATGTCTGTAAAGATTCTGTACATGAAGACTCTGCTTATCACTTTACCACTAGTCATGGGGATCTAACCCTTCAGTTGTTCATATGTTGAAAGTGAAACTACTTTCTGTAAGACCACGATTTCTTCCTTGCTGGGTTTGTAGTAAAATTGATGCTAATTGTTGTCTATCTGTGATACAAATCTTGTTTATATCCGGTGCTAAATGTTGCAATCGCACATCATTAAATTTGTTTGTTTTATATAAGGATTAAATGGTTTATCCATCACCAAATTGCCCACAATTTTCCTCATATTGAAACACCATCAACTATATAATCTTTTTTACATATTTATTTTTGTTAAATTTTGAAAGACGATTTTTTGTTTCTATAATATTAAAAACTATAGCTACATTAATTATCACAAACAATACATTGAATTTATAAAGCAACTTCTCTCCCATGTCCCAAAATTAATACTGATACTGTGGAAAAAAAAAAATAGGAGGCAATTTCATTTCAAAATTTAAATCCCAAAATTTGACTTTTCGCCTACTCAGAACATTTTCACTTGAGCTTGTGTTTGAATAGAGAAAAAGAGAGAGATGTTTAGGGCTTGAAAATGAAGGTGGAATCAGGTGGGAGCAAGACTTAAAAAAGAAGCGTTGGGTTACTCCACCACGAAAGAATGTATAAACATCATGATCCTGATGATGATCAACATCCCGAGAATCAAAGCGAATTAAAACAATTGGTCCTGAGATTTGTTAATGACACGGACCAAAACAAATCTGACAGAGACTAAAATGTTACTGAAATTTTGTATTAGACTAAAGTTTATTTAAATCAGATGTAGGGATGAAATTGGTATATTCCTTATTTCATTGTGACTCGATCTGCCATGCTTCAAATAAAGGGTGAAGGACATTTTCCCACACTCAAGGTTTAGTGAAATGACGCATTCCCACCTTTTGTTATATTCTATTTGTGTTTTCTGTTAAAATTTAGTTAAGTTAAAAACTTTAATTAATTAATTAAAAATATTGATTTTCTATGTTAATTAGTAAAAATAAAAAATATTATATTATGAAGAACATTATAAATTTAATAAATTATTGAATAATAGTGATGAGATATTGATGATATTATAAATAAATAAATATTAAGGTCAGTTAACTTTAAACAATTTTATAGTATTATTCTTAATTTTTTAAGTGGGGTTAACTATTTTTTCTTTTTTGACTTTTTGGCTAATTAAAAATCATAAAAAATTTATAAAGTTAAATATTTATATGTATTTTTGTCTTTTCTGTAAAATATTAACAAAAAGCATAACAAAACCTGAAGAAGGATGGGAAAGTGAAACTTGAAGGGTGGATACTGTCGTTTCACGAAACATTGGGTGAGAAATGTCGTTCTCCCTCAAATAAATAACCAATTTGGGCCAGGATTGCCCGAGTGAGGCTCCATGTGTAATTAAAAAGTGAGAGTCTGGGCTAGGGAAAAGGCCCATTTTCTTTATGCCCTGGCTGGGCTTACCCGGGCTTTTTGGCCCGGTTAAGTGATTACAACATTGTTTAAGTCTTATATTTAATTCAAATTTGATTTAATTGTTAAACTTTTAAATAATATTCATTTGTAGACTTAGAAGTTAGAAATAATATTCATTTCTTTTTTATATTTTTTTTTATATTTCTGAGGTTATCATGGGTGAATTTGTTGTCACTGTTACCGTTTGATGAATTTGTTGTCATTTTTTTTTAATGTAATTTTATATTAAATATGATTGATAATTATTAAATTTAATACTTATGTTCGTGTTGGATTGACTTTAGGTACTGTTAATCTAATCGGGTGGTCTTTTAACATGTATTTTAAAATAATAAAATGTTATTTCAATATAGTAGCAATTATTATTTTTAAATAAATTATATTGATATGATTAACTTTTTTGCCACATACTAAATGATGACATTAGTTTGTTTTTATAATTGCAAATTATTCGATTTATACTCACTACTCAAAATTTTCTAAAAGTTGATTCAAGGAATCGGTTACAAGAATCAATTACTAACATTGGGAAAACTTTTTCTTTTAATGTATATATGCATAATATCCGGGGAAATTTGATACAATTTATATGACTTATATTTATATAAATTCAGTAAATATTATGTATGCAATATTGGCATCTCAGCCAATAACTGATATACAACTCCCATAATGTTAAATCAATAATACTATATATCCCAAAATTCCTCTCTTAACTGATGTGTTATCATATGTGATACGTAATGATATGAAAATGTTATGTAAACTAGTTTGAGATATGATTTTTGGAATATATTTTGGGATGAGTAATATCACTCATATTAAATTGAAATATCAAATAATGTGATTGTTGTTTATCAATATCACATTAATTGTAATGTTGTATTAATATGTGTATTGCGCATCAATAATTTAACGTATCCAAAATTAGGATTCAAACTTTATATAAATAACATTATTTGTACAAATTTTCATATTTATGAAAATCTTAGGATCTATTTAGTACAGCTATATAAAAGAGTAAAATTTATAAAACAAATGGGGATAGTTTTGAAATTTTAATAAATATTTTTCAATATTTATGGCTTAAGCTTTATCCATAAGTCGCAAGATAAATTCTTTAAATGCATTAAACAGTGGAAAAGACTATTTAAAACTTTAAATAATCTTTTTGAACCAATAAATAAGTCGGAGTTAACGACGTCAATCCTCTTAAGGTATGATACGATAACATTTTTTTTTAAAGATTTTTGAAATGACATAAATCCTATTGTCTTTAAAAAATTATTAATGAGTTATTAAAATTTATATTATTAACTATCTGTGAGTAATTGATGGTTCGATAAAGACTCTTGAATATCATGATTTTGAATCTCTTTTCGATTGCTAATAGCGTTAGCCACTAAAACTCTTACCTGATCAGTAATTTTAGGGTCTTGAGAGATTAGTTGATGTACTCGTAAATTGACCCAGATACCCCAGTCATCAAAATAAAATAAAATTTATACTATTATAAATTAGGAAATATTATCTAATTACCTTTCTCCTGCTTATTTTAACACTTTAATAAAGAAAATTTATGTTATTTTAAAAATCTTAAAAATATTTATATAACTATATAATCCTGAAGCCCACCCTCTTTAGCGATTGCCATTTGGACTCTACATAGGATTCTAGCTAGATCTTTTAAATTCCATGTAGGCTTCTAGCTGGATCTCTATAAGTGATACAGGTGTTTGGCCTATTTGCTTTGTAGAACATTCAATGTTCTGTGTAAATTACTCGCATCCACATTCGCTTTGGTTTGTAGAACTATTCGCATTCGCATTCAATGTTTTCTAGAGGTTTTTGACATTTTGTTTGTTTATTGTTTAATTTGATAGATATTGATAATTCGTATGCATTCATTGTTTTGTAGAAACCTTTGGCATTTGTATTCACATAATTGTTTTAATGGTTGAATTGCTTTTGTATATGTAAATGTGAAGTGGCGCATTTTTTTTTTTTGGTTTATTATTTAATTAATCAGATAAATACTGATAATTTATATGCATTAATTGTTTTGTAAAAACCTTTGGTAATAGTAATTGTTTTGATGGTTATATTGCTTTTGTATATGTGAATGTGAAGTTACGCATTTATTTATTTATTTATTTTTTTGGTGAACGGCTATACATGCATGGATACACATGAATAGTAATGGATTGATAACGTGTATTATTGATTTTTGTGAATGTGAAGAGAGACATTGTATCAGTTGCAGAATTAATGACTTTGAATCCTCTACATATAGGTCAATTATGTAACAGTTTGTTATACCATTTATCTGAAGAAAGACAGGTGTGTCATTCCTAATTGTTATTTGTCATTGTTTTATTTTAGTTTTGTCAGTTTATTATTAAACTTTTGATGCTCATGATGTATTAATTTGTCTAGGAATTTTTAATTGGTTTGAATAATTCTCTGTTGTATTGTTATCCTAGTTAGCAAATACGGGTATGGCAAAAAAAGGGTACGGGAGTTTTACGGGTATAATACAGCAAACAGTGAAAAATACGTTTATAAAAATTTGGCCATAAAATTCGGACACGGGAAAAATACGGTACGGGTATATACGGGTTTAATACAGTGCATTGTCAATAATACGTTTTGAAAAATACGGCAATATCAATCTTAGTTTTAATACTTTTATGAATTACTTGACTAAAATCAACATAGTATTTCAAATGTAAAGTATTCAATTAACCAATAACACAAATATATAATATATAACTGATATTTAAATTATAGTCTCCAGACTCAAACACAATATTTAGCTATGATTCTTTACTAATTTAAAACTTGATAAGTTTGATATTAAATGCAACCAATTTTAACTTCCTATTAATCCATTAAATTATTTAAATCAAAAACTAAAATTTTGTCTCACAAATCTATATAAAAGATTAGTGTTACAATAGTCCAACTATTATTTTATACCTATAATATATGACCTTTTTTTTTTTTCATAATAAATTATTATTTTAATTTCATTAATCCAATCTAATTTATTAGATAGCATGGAAATAATTTAAAATATGAAATGTGTTTTGACTCAATATCATAATTAAGCACATTACTATTTAATTCAAGAAAATTATTCATCACAAAATGAATACAAAGAGGTAGGTGAAAACGTGAAATCTCCATATTACTTTTGAGTTTAAAATGTAAAGGTGTCAGGTGTGGGGGAATGGGCGGGAAAATGGATGTCTTTGGGCGGGTTAGTTTTTTTATTCCCCCCCTTTTCCAATCTCTTCTCTTATGCCTTACCACTGACTTCTTCTTCCCCACTAAAACGACGTTGTTTCAATTATTATTATTATTTTTTTAAAA